GTTGGGCAGGGTAGGCGTAGTGCCTCGGGCCTATGACACCTTTAAAGGGACACGAGAATGTTTTAATTTATTTTAAAATTAGAGGGGCTGGGGATTTAGCTCAGCGGCAAAAGCACCTGCCTGGCAAGCGCAAGGTCGTGAGTTCGGTTCCCGGTACCGGAGAAAAACCAAAAATAAATAAATAAATAAATAAAATTAGAAGAAAAACCCAGGTGTGGTAGTGCACCCCTGTAATCCCAGCACGCTGGGAGGCTGAGACAAGAGATTTGCAAGTTCAAGCACAGCCTTGGCAACTGAGCAAGATCAGGTCTCAAAAATAAATAAATAAATAAATAAATAAATAAATAAATAAATAAATAAAGTGCTGGGGATATAGCTCAGTGCAAAGGCCCTGGGTTCCAGTACCACAAAAAAAAAAAAAAAAAGCTTATTTACCCTTTCAGTTTCTCACACCAGAGAAGCAAGGTGTACACTCTTTCAAATTAATACAGTAAGGTGATACCAAAAAAATTCACCCCAAAGTAAAAAAGTCAATCAATTATTTTCTATACCACAGCAGTAGGAGCTAGCGAACTCCTCTGGACAGACTTCAGCTTGTTAATGTTTCTCGAGAAGGTACCAGTGTAACCAGGAGAGCACTTAGGACCTATGTGGGAGAAGCCAGATGATGGAAACCCTGGGGGACACCCTGCGCACGAGCCAGCCTCGCAAGACCCCCGCTTCTCAGCCTGCTGCCTCCTGGCTCTGCTCCTTTGGCTTCCAAAGCTTGATCACACTCCTTCATCTTATTTTTTTTTCTTACCTCTTACCTCTCAGCAGATATTCCTGTCACCCACAGGCAGGAAATCAGGCCATTAGGCAAAATTACTCCATAAGCTGTGAACGTATTCACATCCTCATTGATTTTAGTTATTTCTCTCTGAATGGAAAGTCCCTCATTCTCACGTGAATGACTTCTTTGACCTCTGCTCTGGGATTTCTGGCTCCTAGGGGAACTCACCCATCAGTGATCTAGGACCGGACTCTGTCTTCTGAATTTTCAACTATTGCCCTGGCCCGTCCCTTCACTCTGTCTGCCAATGTGGCATTGTGGATCATTTCCCTCAAATTCCATGTTAAAACAGAACTGATCTTTCTCACATCTGCTGCTAGCAAGGCCTAGCACTCCAACCTGCTTGTCCTTCAGGTTCTCACTCTCATAGGTAACTCATGATCACCTGTTCAGGGACGCACTCCAGGAAGCCTCCATGTGCCTGGCGGACCCTGCTTGTTACAGCCTCCCTCACTCAGCCTCCTTTGTGCTGCTGGCACCGGTTGAATTTGGACCCCCCACAAGGCAGTAGTGCCCGAGATGGTTCCCGCTGCTGTGCAAGGCAATCCCCAGGAAGAGCACACAGCAGCGGCGCCTGAGTGTGAGGTGACCCTGGGCAGAAGCCCATTAACGTCCTCCAGTGGTTCCAACTGCAGTCAGGGTGAGCACCACCGCTCGTGCTGGACGTCCTAGCTCTAATCAGTTTTCCCTGCTACTCCACACAGGTGTGACAGACAAGCCCTTCGACTGGCAAAATATTCTAGACACTCAGTGCCGTCAAAGAGTGCACACTTCCCAAGTGTCTCTCAGAACCCTAAGACGATGGCAAAGTCCCAGCAAAGGTCTCACCCCCACCTCCCTCCCCAGCTTGACCTTCAGCCGCTCCTTCCACACGCACTCTGCATTCCAACCCGGTTAAACACTTTGTAACTCCACCAAGGCCCAGTCCACCCATCTGGCTCTGGCATATGCCTTTCCCTCTGCTGGGGAAATTCTGCTCTGCTAGGCCAACCCCTCTCTATGAGCGCTTCAAGATGGTTGTACAGATGTTCTTTAGCGCGCGCAGGGCAATGGTTCCTGGGTTGTTCTTGCCCATCCCATGCATGCTCAAGCCCCTTAATATAAAATGGCATAGCATTTACATTTATCCTCCTGTATTTTTTTATTTATTTAAGTTTCCTTTGAGACAGGGTCTCACTGTGCAACTAAGGCTAGCCTCAGACTTATAGTACTCCTCCTGCCTCAGCCTCCCAAAGGCTGGGATTAAAGGCATGTGCCACTACACCTGGTTTTCGAAAAAAAATTTTTTTTGAAATTTATTTTTATCTTTTTGAGACAGTGTCTTGCTATATATTCAGGCAGGCCCTGAACTCACAGCAATCCTGCCTCAGCCTTTTTATTTATTTATTGTTTTTGAGACAGGGTCTTACTATGCAGTTCAGGCTGGCCTTAAGCTCACTTTGTAGCCCAGGCTGGTCTCGAACTTGCAACGATCCTCCTGCTTCAGCCTCCTAAGTGCTGGGATTACAGGCGTGCACCACCATGACAAGCGCTGCCTCAGCCTCCTGAGTGCTAGGATGACAGCCATGGCCAGCTCCCATGTATATTTTAAATCATCTCTGGGGCTGGGGATTTAGCTCAGTGGCACAGCGCTTGCCTGGCAAGCACAAGGTCATGAGTTCGATTCCCAGTACCAGAAAAAAAAATCTTAAATTGTCTCTGGATAAATATAACCCCTAATACAAAATATATGCCATATACTGTATTGTTTGTATGTGCTAATACTGTACCATTTAGGGAATAATGAAAAAAAGGTCTGTATGGGTTCAATACAAACATATTTTTTTTCAAACATTTTCAATGTGTGGTTAATTGAATCTGGGTGTACAGAGGGCTGACTGTATACCTCACCTTTTTTTTTTGGTGACTATTACATGCTACTCAGTGAGATATGATTGAAAAATGCAGTGAATGTTTAAATTTGTTTAAACTGCATTACAGTAAAAGATACATTGCCATTCATCTCCCTCAAAACACTTCCCCCAGCTTCAATGCATTTATCCCATTGTTCTTGCCGCTTTCTGAAGCAGTTCTGGAGTCCTTTTTGTGAGTATCTATAGTGGCACTGCCAAGGCTACCACCATGTCCTGAGTCAATTCCAACTGTTTACCTTTCCTTGTCATTCTGATTTTGGGGAACGGTCAAAACTTCCATGGTACCAGATCCAGTGAATATGGTGCACAAGGACACACGGTCATGTTTTTACAAGCCTGCCGTCCTGCTGGGTGGCACGTGACAGAGCATTCACCTATTTTTGATCACACCTTGTAGAGACAGGAAGGAGGACTTCCAGAACTGCTTCAGATTTTGTAAGATGTTTATTCAACATGTTAAACTGTGCACTTGTTTACTGTCTGTCCATTCTGTGAACAGCTGCTCCTTTTTTATTTGAGCTCAACAATTTTTTCTCTTTCCCTTTTTCTTTTCCATTTTTGGATCATTTGTTCATAATACAGTTTGGGTTATAGAATTAAAAGCGTGCTTTCAGCTGGGTTACCACCTAGTCAATATGATATCAGAATTGG